GCCGCTATTGGAGACTTTTCGTGGTGAATATCGATTTTGAGAATTCTCGGTATTCAGTAAGCTATCTCACGCCTCTAGTCTAAACAAAACAAAAAAAAAACACTAATTTGTCACCTTTCCCTAGGCTGGTCACAAGAAGAAAAATATGGAGGAAAAGATAATTGCTTTCTATTTTATACTTAAAAAAAAACGCGAAACTGAAGCGTTGAATTATTTGTTTAACAATATTCATATCATTAGGAAATAAACGTAAATACTTTAATTTCAAACAAATTAAATGAAATGAAAAAAATATTGTTTCTTTTTAAAACAAAAAAAATTAAACACTATTAACAAAATAAAAAAATAAGAAAGATAATTCCGCTGCCCGTTTCACCACACATTTTTTGTGCCTTTCTCTTCGGCTTTCTGCACATTGGTCGTCCAATCATAGTTGCTTCATCGTTACAGTCATGATGCAACGATTGCATGACGACTGCACTTTCGCACTCTCGGTTGTGATATTTAAATTTATTTGGCGTCTAAAAATTCGCTTAAAGCACTTATTTTCTCTTTTTTTGGTTGATATTTTCGCGAAATTTTTACAAAAACCTGCAATTTTAAAATTATGAACTGTGCCGCATAATTTTTCATTAATCTCTCCTTTTCTTTTCCTGAAATTTGTTTTGTTTTACAATTTCGATATATTTGATAGTTAAAATGCTCACATTCATTGAATTTTATTGCAGTTATCCACTTTTTAATAATTTCCACAGATTTTATGCAGGAAATACAAATTTTTATGTAATTTTAATGCAAATATTAACTTTTTCACAAATTTTTCCCCATAAAATGTAAGCAAACAATGCATGCATTAAAATTAGCAAACGGCAGTGTCGTACTTATCCGTTTCTGCATCTTCTACGTAGAAGTGTGCAGACCTCCTTTGAAATGCATGTGCTCGTCTCAAAATTTCAGGGCGCGACGATAACGCAATCATGATTGGACGACAAGTGTGCAAATGGCCTTACTGAATATATCGTCTCAAGTCACAAAAATAGTCACTCATTTCATAGTCTCCAACTTAGTGATTTGAGAAGTGACTGGCTTACTGACCATAAAGTGAAAATACATATGTACATACATATATAACGTCCATTGCGTCACCGTCAGTTGTCAAAAAGATGAATCGGTGTATTTGTATGAAGTAAAATCGTCGTGAGAATGGGTACTTGTACGTCAATATTGGAAAAGAATGTGTAGGAAGTGGTGCTCCTAACGTATAGAGACGCCAAAATAAAGGCGTCGGGTTTGTAAACAAAAATCAGCTGTTATTTATGGCCGGTACTTGCCTTGTCTTGTATAAACGCAAGGTTATACAACTGCCGGTATTGCCGGACCTACTTGCGTCAAAAGTTTAGAGTTCGTCAACGTGCATTGGTTCCGTCATGCAAGGGTTGTCAGTCTTGCGCTGCATATGCGCCTATGCGACTATGCACACACAGTCTACTCAATTGCCAATTTCACCTTTGAGCGGAACGTCCGCAAAGTACCCATTCTGACGGGGCCATTATGTACTTTAGCTTTTATAACGAATTTCCGTCGTTTGAACAATGCCACAACTTAAGCCGAATTCCCACTAGGCATTGAAATGACAAAAAATTTAAGCCATTTAAAAAATGTCATGTGAAAATGAACTTAATCAATACTTTTTTTTAATGTAATGGCAGAGATCAAGGCATATGAAACAGATAGCAGTAGCACTAGAGCAAAAACAACATTTTATTATTAAGAGTTAAGTGAACGTTCCAAAAGATGGTTTTCAATAGCTTTTTATGAAAAAAGTATCAAATGAAAATACGTTTTGGCAATTTAGTATTTTTGTGAAAAAATAATAATATTGTTTGACACTTTAGAGACCAAATAATTAAAAAAAAAAAATAAGATCAGCTTATCTACTGACAACACTACCTGTTCAATATGCCTCAGTATGAATATTTTTTAATGCCCAATTTTTTCGTTAAAACTGTTGGCATTTAATGCCTAGCGGAAATCCGGCATTAATGACTATGTTTGTCAATGGACAATTTCATCATTAAAATTGTGTGTTTCTGTAATTTGGTGGAAATTTGTCATAAGAAAAGTTGCCTCACACATAAATATATACATACTTATTTATTTGTTTTGAATACGCCTACAAAGTGCATAACGTAATGAAATTATAAGCTATAACTTCCTGTTATTTGTAAAAGATTTTCGAAGTCGAAAAATTATTGTTAAAAAAGTTTTTATATTCGCCGTGCATTCGCAGATAGGGGGTCTCCGCTTAAGACCACCTGACGCTGCGTATGAATATTTGTCTCTTTTAAGTATCTTTCGCCAAAACGTCAAATGTCAAAGTAAATCCCATATACTCCAAAATCTTAACTGCAGTTCAGAGCTCTGTAAGAGTTTCAATCGTAAATATTATATCCAGATCCTAAGGAAACGGTCAGGAAAAAGTGTTATTATTTCGTTTGTGTGAATAGTAGTGTCGAAGAAATTTTGACATCTGATATTGCACAGCCGGTTGTCTCATTCTTTCCTCGCGAAAAAATGGAACGGACATAATTTCTGTTGCAAACATGGGTTTCCTTGTGCTATTTTTTCATTAAAAAAAACTTTAGGAAACCTTAGTAAAAAGCNGTAGTGTCGAAGAAATTTTGACATCTGATATTGCACAGCCGGTTGTCTCACTTCTTCCTCACGAAATAATGGAACGGACATATATTTCTGTTGCAAACATGGGTTTCCTTGTGCTATTTTTTCATTAAAAAAACTTTAGGAAACCGTAGTAAAAAGAGTAGCAAATTTCATAAGAACTGCGTACTGCCTTAAGGAAATTTGACACAAGAAAATTTCTTCGCTATTTCTTGAGCTTTGTTTATATGGTGTTATTGATTTTCTTGAGAGCAGTGTTGCCATAAGTGTAGACTTATCTTCGAAAAGAAAATATATTTCATAAATAATCGAAAAATTTTCACATGAAAATAATTACAACAAAATAAAACTCCATACAACAAATCTTCTCAGTGTAGACATCTGGCAGCACCTGACGATTTTTTTTAGAATAGTTGGCAACAAATTTTTCGTTTTCGTCATCAATTTACTGCTTACATGCGAACGTAGGCCAGCTAGATTTCTATTGTCAAATATGGATAGGAAAAAATTAAACCTTGAACTATGCCCACTTTATACTCTGTGGTTTTTTTGTAGTTGGAACTAGTAGGTGACAAAAAACTTTTCGTTTTTGTCATCAATTTATCTTGCAAGACAAACTCGGCGTTGTGAATTTCAGCAAAATAAAAATGATGGAGCGTTATTTGTTAAAACAAAAACGGAAAATAATTTTGGTTTCTAAATTTACATTAACAAATTAAATTTTCTATAATTGGCTTTATGGAGACATTATCATCATCATTCGATAGCGGGGATGAATTTTAGTAAAAATTCGAAGTGTTTTTATTATAAAATCTTCAATAAAGATAAATCTAGAAAAAAAAAAAGATTTTCTTTCAGTTTTGTAACCTTTTTATGGTTTTTTGAAAATCTTATCATCACTCGAAAGATTTTTAACAAAATTTTTCTGGCAACACTTATTGAGAGCTGGATACTAAGCGTAATCAAGAATTATGGAATACAAGCCCATCAGATCAGATTTTTGAGAATAGTTTTTGTGTGACGTCATACTGGTGCAGTTGCGAGAGAGAAATGCCAAAACGCGAGCAAGAATGGAAGAAGAAGAAGAAATTTTGTAAGAAAAACGTAAACAAGTTGCACATGTGTGACGTCATAAAAACAGCGATTCTGTCAAATTCACTGAGAGCGATATAGCGGTACCAAGATGGGCGCCACTTTTGTTCTCTACATCGTGAAGCGTAATCAAGTTTTGGATTGTATCCATTTTGATAGTTTGCTTTCATAGGATTTATTGTTTCCAAATAGTATGATTGTTTACTTTGCTTACGATAAAATTTAAAATTTTTGCGTTTAACTGATAATAATAAATTTCAGGGATAGGGAATACCGCTAAATAAATTTCTCTCCTCTGTCCTTGGATGCGCGTAAATGTATACCGTGTTTAGTGTTAATACAGCCATAGCTGTTTACGAGTTAAAAAGCTGAAATTTTTTTGTAGCTTTTAGCACTGAAACGAGGTTCACTGCAAGCCTTTTGAGAAACTACAACAGCTGGAGTACAATTTTTTGCCTAAATCGACTTCCATAACACTATTCTCTACGTAAATATAATGCCAGCGCATTTAAATATATTTGTTCATTATTTTGTCAATTTCTTTTTAATCCTACAATACCTTTGTGTATTTATGCATAATGCTTGCATGATTAATTTTGATCCGAGTATGTATTATCTTAAAATCACCATGAATTCCATACCTAGAAAAATTTTTTTTTTTTTAACACTAAGAAAGCACATAAATTAAAATTATCTAGCTAAATACAAATATGACGAAGAAATATTGTACTTTTATGCATGTACACTGACGGCAAAAAGTATTGACACAGCGAATTTTGCGCAATATATGCACCAATTTCTAATCTGATATTTTCCCGCTAATTTCTTTATAAAAATATAATTTCTAAACTTTGTGCAAGGCTCGCGAAAATTCATTAAAGTTCGGAGTTAGTCAAAAATCGCGTTGATTTTTGAGAATTTTTTTTTGTGTTGAAAGCGTTTTTCCCACATGAAGTATTTTCGAAATTTATTTTTTCTATGGAAGAGACTGCTTAGAACTTCTACTTTATTACAATAGAATTTATTGGGCTACAAATCTGCATACCAAAAAAAAATCTTATTAAAAAGTTGAAAATTTGCTGAATTTTGCGCGAGTTTTGCACAAAGTTTAGAAATTACATTTTTATGTTTTTTTGTTGTAGAATGAACCATATGTTTATAAAAAATTGGCGGAAAAATATTACAATAAAAATTGTTGCATATATTGTAAAAAAGCAGCTGTACCAATACTTTTTGCCGGCAGTGTATGTATGTATGTATAGGCTACGGTCATTTACATCGGTATATACTTATGTATGCACGTGTATGTTAAGATAAAATGGATTTAGGAAAATTTAGCAAAAAGTGACTTCCGAAGACGAGAATGATTTAAGCGAACCATGGAAGAATTTTTTGCGTATTCGCGATCGAGTTGTTATGTATGTATGTTTTTAAGCTTTCAAGTGTGTTCCATGTGATTACATATGTATGTATGTATATACGAGTATGCGTTTCTTCAATTGTTGCGTATAGGGGAAGCTTATTTTGACCGTATGCATTTCAGGCAATAAGAGTGAATGATTACAAGTTTATATGTATCTATTCACGTGTGTATGTTTTTATAATTAATAACTTTCTTAAACCCTATTCAAGCTGCGTACTTAGTTGCTAAAATCGTAGCTTTCATAGTTCCTCAATCCTTACATACGCGTGCTCTCCAACGTCAACGAGCCGGCGGCAACATCCGCTGACGCTGTCAGTAATAACAGATCCGACGCCGTCGAATTGGCAGCGCCCGCCGACGAAGAGCGTTTCTTCGTACTGCCTCGACCATTGCTTTTTAAAAATCAACTCGAGGAACGCGTAAGCAGCTCATCATCGTCAAGTTGCGCCAAAGCTGCCGGCGAACCCACATCGATGGTGGTCACACGATTGCCGCCATCCGAGGCAGATGGCAACTTGATGACATCATTGTCAGATGAATGCACTGGCATAATAATGCAAACGAAGCTCTTGCCTGTCTGTGAGTCGCGCGGATGCAATGTTACCGGATTGAATTTCTCCGTTTGTCCATCGGTGTAGGTTTGTAGCCGCTGATAAATCTCCGGATAATGTTTACGCAGCAATACACCACGCCGAGATAATATATCCAGTATGTTGGAGAGTATGAGTTCGCCTTGATTGGCATTCGAGCGCAAGTTCGGATTAAATGTGAGTATAAGTATCTCGGTGGTGGGTTCCGGTACAGCGACAACTGTCAGCGGTGGCTGTTGCTGTTGGAGGGCCTGTTGCTGTTGCTCCAGCTCGGCTAGGATGCTCTTGCAGAGTTTCAGTTTGGCACAACGCGAGACCAGCTGGCGTTCCCAGCGTACTGGCGCCTGTCCCATGCCCGGCGCTTCGCTCACCACACATATGGCCACATAGATGAGCATCTTCGAGTCTGGCTTGTATTCGGTGCTTAGCTTGAGCAACTCCGAGTACAGCTCGAGACCCATTTCGGCGGGCATCAGATCGGGCCAACGCACATAGGACGCCTCGCCCATACACTGAAAGCCGTGCTTGATGAAACTCTCAGCCGCCTCGGCGGAACGGAAGAGCACCCGCACAACGCCGCGACCCTGCGACAGGGAGCCCTTACGTGCCAGCAGACTGAGATGGCGCTGCGAATCTACATCGTCCTTGCAGGTGGCTAACACTTGGCGGCACAAATTCGACGCACGTGAGTGCAGACACGCCTTGCGGTGCTTCTCCCAGTGGGCGCGTCGACATTCACGCGAACAATATAAATGGGTACAATTGTGGCATGACTTGTAATACTTTTTGGCGTCCGCGGGCGTGGCGCTACGATCGCACTTGGTGTTGCGGCACTTGATCTGCAATTCGGATGTGGTCTTGTTATTGGACTCGGAACTGTCGCCGAGCGAGACACGGCGCGTCGGCTGTGTGGCGTTCCCGGTGCCGATGACACAGCTGCCACCTCCGCCAGCTCCGCCTCCATCGATAGCGGGCGTGTTGCTGTTATCTTGGAAGTTGCCAGCGTTGGTGTGCATGTTATTGGCTGTCGAGTTGGTTTTGGCATTTTGGTTGTAGAGTTGTGGTTGCTGTTGTTTTTGTTGTTGCGGTGCATCGCCCTCACTGCGGCGGCGCAAGCGTTGCTGCTCAGCCTGTAATTGCAGTAGTAGTTGCTGTTGGGACTGTTGTAGTTGTGACTGGGACTGGGGGTTTTGTGCCGGCTGTTGCTGCTGCGGCATATGACGAAATGTGACCAGGGACTGACTAGCTGAATCGCCTGCGAAAAGAAGAGAGAAAAGAGAGATATTTTGCTGGAGAATGGAATTGTCAAAAGCTGCGTCACGTATAACATTAGAACTTTTGCTAATAAACTCCTAATATAGAACAACGCTAAGGCATTCCACACAAAGGTTAAATATGAATGTAGAAACGAAATGAAAACAAAAGTTTATTAACGATATTAATTTGGAAATGTTTCGATAAGCACAAGTAGGGAAACTGTAACGAAGAGGAATGAGTTGAACATGCTTGGAGGGATTCAATCGTACTACTTGCTTGGCAATACTTTGACAGATCTTTGAAAATAATAATCAAGCTGCCCTTTTTACCTATACATATAATCACGATTTTTGAAGTTATATTTACATATGTATGTATGTATGTATATGTACTTACAAGTTAAAGAATTTAAAGCAATTTTATGGGTAGGTTTATATCTTTTCACAAATCCGCCCCTTATTCCCATCTCGATGCGCTGGTAATTGCCTCAGTAATGTCCTTCATGCGTACCCTTTCATTTTGGAGAAAATTCCTAGGCTCTCAGATAAATTTACATATTTAAGGCACTGCCTGAACCCCTCTCACTAATATACCTAAAGTACATAAATTAAACTTCCACATTACGGAGATATTTTACAGTAGTTATATTATTTAAAGGAGACCCGTTTTGGCGATGTATAATTTTGCGTAAGCCCCAATAAAAGTGATTCGTGCTTTCTAAATACATATACATACATATATGCCCTCTTTTCTTTGCTGCCTAACAGATGAAATTTCCCATTTCCATCAATAGCTTAACAGCAATTAAGAATTCTATTGAGTTCTAGAAATTATCAGGCCTTCCACCGTATGTTGTTAACTTAAAGGTCGACCGATTGGTAGTTTTCAATTTCAAGGTTTCATTGTTTTGGTATTTATTGTTACCAGGATAATGATTCCTTATTTCTTTCGAGGAAAAACTTCATAATTTTTACTAAACATACAATAGGGGCATTTCAGCGTGACGGATAGGACATTTTAACCAAGGAATGAAACCGATTCAAAATAACGTTCCGGTTTCGTTTCGGTTTTGAAATAAAAAAATTAAAGCAAGTTTGACAAAAAAAGTCACCACCATATTCACTTAAATGTTAAATTTTTGCTGTAAAATTGAAGGTGTATGAAAACTAAAATAATTATGAAATTTTATCCACCCATTCACTTCTGTGCGCTTTACAACTATACATGTGAAAATGAAAATGAAAATGACTTCTTCCAAATAACCGATGGCAGATCGGAGATTTAATTTATTTGGCATCTTTTTAGCAGCGTTTTGCGAAAAGTTACTTTGTCAAAATTACTACTTAACAAGAATTTTAGCAAAATAATTGTGCTTTTGGTTAAATAAATCATTTATTTCAAAGAAATTTATATTTATTTGGGAGGTAAATGTAATTTGTGGAAAGTGAAGTAAAATGAAGTGACGAAGTTAAGGCTTCTAAAGTGAAGTGAAAAACTTCAATTGAAGTGACAGCCGCAGCACTTCGACCGCCTTGTATAAATTCGCCTTGAAAACGCACAGTTATGCTACTGAAGAAAAAATTTTTGGTTGCTAGAGCCTGCAGCTGATTTTTATAAATTTCTGGAAACCGATTGAAACCTGTGCTTGAAACGGTTTCGGTTTCGTTCCTTTTCAGGTCAAGATAAAGGTTACGGTTTCGGTTTCATTCCTTGATTTTAGCTCGTTTACGCTCAAACTTTAAGTAATTTCTCTTAAGCCATTAATTTGACAAGTTTCAAAAAGTCAGCGCTTTAAATCAGATATCAGTTTAATACGAGATTAATAAAGTATAAAACTTAAGGTATATTTTATGTTTTGGTGGCATTATTAAAATGCGGACACATACTTTGTGAGTTAAATGAATACTACTTTTTTGTTATGAATATTTATAATTTTTTTAATAAAATGGTCTTATTTAAAAAATTAGAAGCTTACGTATTTGTACGTTGGTTAAAAACAAACAAATTTTGCCGTGGCGGATGGGACATCCGCATTTCTCTGAATGCTGACAACTTCTCGACATAAATAATAAATAATTTTTTTTAATGTGTTGTGCTCAGTTTTAAAGTCCATGAGTTGTATTTTATTTCCTCTTACACGCTCCAATTTTGTTGAATTCAAGTTGTTGGTTCTTTAAATGGCAAACAATGAAAATGTCAAAAGCAAATCCAGAAACTTGAAACGACACTTCTTCCACTTGCAAGCAGGGAATTTAATTCAATACTTGACCATGTAGAACCCGTTTAAAACTAAAAAAATAGTGGAAAATAAATATTTTACCTCCTTTAAAATTGTCTCAGATTTAAGCGCAATCTGTGTAATTTATTTTTTGGCTTGTAGTGTTGTCTTCGCTGGAATGACCCATGTGTATTTTCTGTGCGAAAAGGGCCTAAAAGTATTTTATGAATCCTTGAGTTAACACCGTTCTGAAATACTGTTAAGACTTTTATATAGGAACATTTTTGTTAAAGCATGCATGGGCGTAGCCAGGTAGGGGCAGGGGGGTGCTCGACACGTTAATCTGCAATATAAAAGTTAACCTCAGATTAAACCAATAACTTTTCGGTGTCCGACCTGGTTTTGTCGATGATTTTTGCGAAGTAGAGGAGAAACCTCAAATGTGAATGTAAAGGAAAATGGTCGTTAGTAAAACAAGAGGTTTTTGCAAGGAAACTTCAAAAAAAAAAAATTTTTTTTTTTTGTTGGTTGAATGCATTAGGGATCTTCGGCTTTTACAGTCGGATTTTAAATTATTGTATATCGGTGTTTTTTTGTTCCAAAGTTCATTGACCTCAAGCACTCCATCCTAGTGTTTACCAACCAGATTTCAGTTCTTATCGCCCTAACGTACCACACTAATTTCATTAAATTAAAGCCCACCAAAATCATTAAACTTTTTCTAAAGGATTGTCTTCACTATGTCAAATTCAGTGGCAAATACTTAAGTGAAACCGCGTTTTCAAATGGAACTAAAAATAGTTAGACGATCGATTTAGATCAGAATAGGTCTTCAGTCCTGCACATGTGCTGCTAAATTTGCTATCTGTCCGTTTTTGGCCAATAATATAACACCGTGCGACAAAAACAAACAAAATTTAAAACACACGAAAGAATCGATATACTCACGAAACTATGGCTCAAATATTGTAAAACTGCCTTTTTACTTCTTCACTCTAACGTCAGGTTTTTTTCAAGGGACTTTGAAATTTTAAAGATGTGATTAATTAATAAAAAAAAATATTTAAAAATATCAGTGCAATGTAGAATAACAATAGATAGAAAATTCTGTGGAATTTAAAAACAATAGTTTTTTTTTTTTTGGTTTACAAGGACGAATAGGTACTGAAAGTGCGCTTTTAATAAATTTTCTCTTTTTAAATTATAAAGTTGTGAGGTCGTGCGCATATTAGTCCTCAAACAATAATTAAAAACAAAAAAATAAAAAATATTGCAAGTTTTCAAGGATATTGTGCATGTGTTCCATACCCATTCGTCCAACATTGCACTGATTTTTTTTAAATAACTTTTTGAAATAATGATCTTTTATAAATCTCAAAGTCCTTTAAAAAAATATCCTGACGTCAGAGAGAAAAACTAAGTACGCAGTTTAACCATAATTTACCCATAGTTTCGAGAACATATTAAGTTTTTTGTGTGTAAAATTTACTGTCGCACGGTGTAATCAGTAAAAGTATGGATAATGAAGATGAATGATGTGTCAACCAGCCTTAAGGAAGTGTTTCGATTATTCCAGTAGAACTACAAATACTAAAGAAGAAACTACTTTAGGCTCAGGGGGGTCGGCGAAATTTTTGTTTGCTTGTAAGGTCGTACGGTAAAATACACATATGTATGTACAGAGAACATTTGACTTTTAGATTTATGTATGTAATTAGCAGTAATTTTCTGTGATCGATAAAGTTCGTACTTCAGTTTTATTAAGTGAACAAAAAAATCAAAACTTCATTTCTAAAATAAGTTAAAGTGGTATGACCCCCTAAAATACTGTAATCTCATAACCATAGAAACTAATAACTAAAGTGAATTGAAGAGAAAATATTTTCCATTACATAAAGGTCATTTCATATTTATAATACAAAAGCAATAAAATTTAAATTTTTGCAAAAATTAATTTCATACACACCACTCGGTGGATAGTGCAAAAATCTTGTTGGAAGTAATTTTTTTTAAATATTTTTTCATCTTTTATTTAAACAAAATATTTAAATAAAGCACTTACTTTAAATTAAAGATAGATGTATGTACGAGTATATAAGACGCTATGATAAAATATTCTTTAACACATAGAAAGAAACACAACAATAAAAAGGAATCCAAAACAATTTTGTGGTTATAATAAAATTTTAAGTAAATCGTTATATTTTGTTTTTTTTTTTGTTTTTGATTATACAAGTAAAACACAATTGTTATTATCTTATTTTTTTTAATTTTCAAATTCTAAATTCAATGTTTACGCGCGCGCATGATTATTTGAACAAGTCTAATTTTTGTTTTTTGTATACTATAATTAGTAAATGTGTATATACGAGTATGTACGAGTATATTTTTGTGATGGAACAAAACTTACAGGTTCATACCTGTCGTCGTGGACCTAGCGTATGGATCACTTGTGGAGGATGGGCCCGCGCTGACGTTGACGCCGACGCCGACGCTAGCGCCTGCACTCGCACTCGCACCTGCACCCGCACCAGCGCCTACGTTCACGCCCTGCACTCCACCACTTGACGCTGACGACGATGGCAGTCCTAATAGTGAGGCTAAGACATCTTCTAGCGATGCGGTGCTCAACGAGCGTTCTGGCGCTAAATTCAGGGTTTCCGAATTGGGCAATTATTTTTTTTATGAATTTGTTTTGTTGTTGATCGGATTAGTAGGAGGGAAAAGGTTGTGTTAATTGGAGTTATCGTTTTTTTTTTTTTTTTTAGTGACATATGTGTTGGTTGGCCGCCATTAGTTGATGCATCGTTTTAATTGTATTTTTTTTTTTATTATCGACATAGTAATGTTTTTGTGATAAAAAAAGGAAAAAAGAAACGAGAATACAAACGCATATTTATAAAAAATTGCTTGAATTTTTTCAAGTCGTTACATTATTATTCTAGCCTAAAATTATACTTAACTAAATTTTAATGAAAATCATTCTACTAACAACAATAAGTGGTTGAAATATACAGACGAAAGACTGAATTGCAAAAATGACTGCCTCAAATGATTATTGCTATTTCTTCAATTGCCGTGTTTTTGCAAAAAAATTTTGAAAAAAGCAAATATGCATAAATCATTGAGTAAGGGTTGCCTACTGTTATCGCAAGTAAATACGCGAGGAAGAAAGGAAGCGTTGAACTGTGGAAGTAGTAGTCATTTGGAGTACGGAAAGGGTGTTTTTAGGAAAGTTGCAAATCAAAAAACATCTACTGGTTGCGTCTACTGGCTACTGCAAATTAGGTGACAAATTATGATCGTTTAGTGAATGTGAATTTTAAGCTACAACCTACAATATGTGTGTATAAAGCTACTTTAGAGTGATTAAAATCTAAGAGTGATACTATGTTAAGCATTTAAAAAAGGAAAAAACATAGACAAAGAATAACATAAATATATGTAGTAAGTTAATAGTAAACAAATCTTTTTGAAACAAGCTTTCTAAATATAAAACAAATCGGACCATAAATATATCAAACCCTAAGCCACCTACCAGAAATTTTTTTTGTGGAGTTATTTCTCTTCATGTATGTAATATACAGGGTGTCTTATACCACCCGTCTACCCCCTCTAAAATGGAGGAAATGTTTTTTTTTTTTTTAAACCGCGAAAATATGACCTAACAAATCGACTTCCGGTGTTGCCAGCATTGGGGTTAAACTGATCGGAGGTACATTTTTTAAATATGTATGTTCTTACCACAAAAAAATACACAACTATTGTAGGAAACTTTATTCTGTAATGCAGTTCCGGTTAAAAGAATGGGCTTCCGGTCTGCTTAACCCACTTCCGGTCGAAACCGAAAGTCGATAACACCGTGCGACAGTAAATTTTACACACAAAAAATGAATATATTCGTGAAACTATCGGTAAATTATAGTAAAGCTGTGTACTTAGTTTTTCTCTCTGACGTTAGAATTTTTTTTAAAAGGACTTTGAAATTTTAAAATATAATTATTTCAAAAAATCATTTGGAACGATTAGCAGTAAATAATATTATTCAAATTTATGTTATTTACTATACTTTTATTACAATTTAAGACGAAAAAGTGGTATTTGCCTTGAGTAAAGGTTTTCAACTTTTAAAGAAAGCCATCACCCACAAACTTTTTTCACTTGATAAGTTATCATTTAAATAATATCAGTGCAGCTAACTTAAAAAAAAAATTTTTTTTTTTTCAACTAAAATTTTGCCGTCTCTAAAGTTTGCCGCCCTAGGCACCTGCCTATGTTGCCTTTACGGTAAATCCGCCACTGGATATGGAATATGTCTTTTAAAAATTTTGTCCTTAAATATCCTAGAAAATTTTCAATATATTTTTGTTTTTTTTAACTATTGTTTGAGGAAAAATTTACTAATTTGAAAATATAAAATTTATTAAAAACGCATTTTTAATACCTATTCGTCCTTGTAAACCAAAAAAGTTCATTGTTGTTAAATTCAACGGAATTTTCTCTCTCATTTGGTACCCATATTGTTATTCTAAATAGCACTGATTTGTTTTAATAATGTTTTTTTAATTAATCATATCTGAAAAATTTCAGAGTCCTTTGAAAAAAATTCTGATGTCAGAGTGAAAAACTAAAAACGCAGTTTTACTATATTTGGCCCATAGTTTCGTGAGTATATCGATTCATTCGTATATTTTGATTTTTTTTTTTGTTTTTGTCGCAATAGTACAAAAAGATAGAGCACCCCTAGCTTGATGATAAATTTTTCTTTTCTTTTTCATTAAGGAAATTTTCGTCCATTTTAGAAGTCCAGGACAAGTTGAAGTTCGAAGGTCATTTAGAGGTTGAAAAAGCCACTTTTAAAAAAGAGTTTTATACATACGTATTTTTATCCTAAGAATTTGAATATGTAGCAAAAACATGTATGTCTAATTTAAGAAAATGGTCAGTTTAACCCACTTCCGGTCGAAATATTACCAAAACATAGAGCATCCCAGATTTGTTAGGACATATTCTTGCGTTTTTTTTTTTTAATAAAAAACATTTCCCTCATACAGGGTGCCTTATGAATATAAACTAAAATGAAACCACAGGTATGCAGGATTTCGAAATATATCGACTGCCGCGCCACCTACCGGCAACATTTTTTTTTGTGGAATCTTTAGAGGTAGATGATATTCCAAACATTTATGCGGTATTTTCCACAATGCCTAAGTGTGTTTGCATTTGAAGGCCATCCTAAGGGTTAGGCACGTGGCTTCGCATTACCATTAAGTTACATAGCGTTGCCAGATAAAGTACGACCACTTTAGACAGCTAATCACTGCGAACCAGAAGCAATACTGAAGAACATCGCAGTCCTTTTGGCAAACTGGAACAACTGGTTATACCCTACCAGATTAGGTAAAAAACCTGCTCGCAGTGGACTAACCCGCAGTCTGCCAAGGGCAGGACACTCGCAGAGGATATGCTCCACCGTCTAAGTGTTAATCGTCTTCAATTGTCTCTTTATTTTGTTTGAGTAGCATAAATCGCTTAATTTTGTAATCGGGTTTTATGGAAACGGTGCAAAGAAAACCTTAAATTGTTTTTTATTTCGGAAAAGTAAGTGGCAATATATTGCTGGTGGTGGTATTTTTTTCAATTAAGGCCTACAGAAAAAGGTGCAAGTGTTTTGGAAAGTGGCGCTGTTCATCGGCAACCTCACTGAGGTTGTGTTGCTGTCCATAATTGACTCATTAGAGAATTTTACATCTTCGTACTATTTAAAACATTATAAAACGATTCTGTTTTTCGGACGTAAATATTTATTATTTATTTCACTTTGATGATATGTTTTACAAGTAAATTTTTAATATNTATATATATATATATATATATATATATATATATGCATATATTTATGTATATGTATAATATTACTAAAAAGTATTATGTAGTATTTAATTAAAAATGTTGCCTAAATCATAATTGTCGACTCACCACCGCCAACGATACTCAGACCGTTCATGCGTAATACATGTGGATTTGTGGTGATCGCTGTGGTGATACCAATGCCACCAATACTATTTGGTGTTGTTATTGCCGTTAATGTATTTGTTGATGAATTATTCGTATTGTAATTGTAATTATAATTGTAATTGTTATACTGGCTGCTGCTGACGCTGTTATTAGTGGTGGTGTTGTTGGTATTGGTAGCGCTACTAAATGCAGTTGCTGTATTCTCGATGACCGGTGTTTGTGGTGAGTCCAGCGGGCGTATGCCAACAAATGAGGATTCAAGCCAACATTTTCTGGCGTAGTGGAGAGGGGAAGATAAGAGCAAAGTATGGTGATAATTAGTTAAATTGCTTAGCTAGAAATACGTAAATATTATTTAGTTAATTTATTAAAAGTTGAACGGCAACTGTTAGTAATCTGTTAGTGTTAGTGCATTAGTGCTTTGGTTCGGTAAAGGTTACAATATGGATTTACATAGATTTTAAAGTAGAGTAGGGTTGAATGTACCTACACCTGTAGATTTCAAGCGACAAGAAATCGCGCTGATTTTTAATAATTTTTTTCCTCGCGAATAAAGCACTCGAAATATATATGGTTTTGGTTAAAGCTTGGACATATTTATAGAAAACAACAAAAGTATTTAACTTGAAAAACATTGTGAATATTTAAAGAAAATCAACACGTCATCACTTCTTTGAGTCATTGTATGTATGTAAATACACATATGTACACTGGTGTCAGAAAAAATAGACCCACCTTATTTTGTTTAAAAATGGACTTAGCAACTTTTCACTCGTAAGCAAGCGATATACAAAAATGCGCATTTTAAACTTTGTGCAAAAGTTATAAAAATTCTAAAAATTAAAAAAACAAACCAAACTTTTATTCAAAAGTTTTAGAAAAATTTACGTATACAGTTTTATAGCAAACTAAATTTTAGTAAGACGAAGTGCAAGATTCATGGCTCCAAAAGTTGCCTAAATTTTTTTGTCGCCATTGCTTCCAAAAACACAATTTATTTTTATATGGAACAAAATCGCTACACCTTCGGCAAAAATGGTAATCAAAGGCATTTAGTAAACACTGCCAGCTACTTTATCCTTCTAAAACGTCATGGGCATGATTACATTTTTTCTTAAACTTCTGATTAAAAAAGTTTGAATTTTAGGGCGGAAATTCGTTGATTTTTATAATTTTCCTTTACAAAGTTTTAAACGCATATTTATATGTGGTTTATTTTATAAAAAGTTGAACTTTTATAAAAAATTGTTAAACATTAAATAAATAAAAGAAATATAGCCATAACTGGTGAAAGTGAGAGTTTTCCATTATTTCTGCCCGAAGTATACAAAGTCTTCTAAACGTTGCGTATACGCCATGACGTTCACGACTTACCTATACCCATAAACTACACTCATACAGCCCGATTCTGTGCACTTGATAAATTGAAAATCTTTATAATTTGTCAATTTTTTATTATTTATCAAGAATTGGAATTCTAGCACAGAAATCAAAAGCTCTTTTCTTGATAAATTATCAAGATTGAAAATGCTATTGACAAATTGAATTTTCATGTGAAATGTATAAATTTTCTATATTAATAAATTTGTTTCTAACAGCTAAATAAATCATTTGCCGGCATTTGAACCTGCAATACACGGAATATTATGGTCGGCATCCCTACCTACTCGGCTACGGCAGTCAAAAGCTTTTTTGCTTTTAAATTCATATTTTTCATATGTGACAATGAAATCAGATGCACTCATGTGGAAATCAGTTCCACTCATTTGGAAATCGTAGAGCTTTTTGTCTTATAAATATTGACAAAGAATGCGAAGGGAGCTTTTACTTGATAAAAATCTTGATACAATTTCTTTACAAAAAATGTATCAAGAAAACACAGAATTGGGCGGATAGTATGTATAATCTCATATTGTCATCATCATTGCGAAAGGCTTCATGTGATTTTATGATTTTTATGATTTGAAAAAACCAGTAAGTTTTAAATTCGGAAAATTTACTACAGATGTAAAGCCGAAGCAAGCCTTATAGGCACTTAATAACAATTTTTTTTTTAGTTGATTTACTTAACTCGGTTATTTAAATATATTTATAATCTCTTTATACCTAGCCCCTTTCTACATTAAAGTATTCATTAAATCATAGAAATGTGAGATGTTATTTAAGAGTAGCTTGCTGGTGTTCATTAGCATTACTCATACGCCGTGGGACTCGTATTTCGCATTCCATTACACAATTTATTTACATTATTCTATATTTTTATATTTTTTAATCACGCGTTTACATACACTTACTATGCTTTTTTCTATAATATTTTTTGGTTTCGATTAAATCTACAAATTTTTTTTGGATTACTTGCAGATGACCCAGAATTTGTAGCGAATAAAAGTGTTTGAAAATACAAAAACTCGATGAAGCTTTGCAACAACAGCTTAAGAAAACCAATATAGAAAAAAGGCTAAAGCCAGATTTATGTGTTTGGTCCCTTGAAAATCAGTGATTGACTGGTATTTCTAAGCAAAATTATCCAATTTCAGGGGTGAGTACCGTACTTATTTCTCACAACTATACATATTCTTGGCAAAATAATTTATTACCACTTTGTTTAGCAATTATTTATAACAAGAAAACCATACATCTTAGACAAATTAAGGCACCAAAGTCAAGATCTAAATCAGATTTGCTCTTTGCATTACATTTTAAAGCTATATGTTTTATATCTTTTAGTTATTGTTAATTATTTTTGATTTTCAATCCGCTAATAATTAAAAAAATCTATTTGGTTTGTGATTTGATTCATCGAGCAAACTACAAATTAATTTAATTTGTGATTTGATTCGTCGACCAAATAGGGAAAAAAATTATTTGCGGTTTCTTTTGTTGGCTATATAAAAAGTAAAATTTATTTGTGATTTGATTCGTCAACCAAATAAAAAATTTAATTTTATTTAGTCGAAAATCGTGCTTGCGTTACACAAAAAATGTTTTGCTCAACAAATCAAATCACAAATAAACTGTATTTTTTTTATTTTTTTGACAAATCAATTCACAAGTAAATTTTATTTTTTATTTTTTATTTGGCCGACCAAATCAATTTTGTTTTTCAATTTGGAATTTGACTTATTAACAATCATGAAATCCTGTTACGGAAAACCTTATTAAAAACCTTAATGCTTTTATCGCGCAACTTTTATTTTCTGAGTTATGACGTTCTTCCAAACAACGAGAAAACAGCTTAAAATTGGTTTATTTTAAAATTAAAGCTACAGTTGTACGCAAAGTAATAAGAGTGCAATATTTTGACCAGTTTTGTTAATTTAATGTTTATTATTTTATACGACAAACACCATATAAATACAGATTTCAAACTTTGTATAAAAATTATAAAAATCTCGCAAATTTCAAACTATTTAATCAGAATCTTTAAAGAAAATTTTGGTATGCACTCTTGTAGCCCATTTAATTCAAGTATAAGGAAGTGCAAGTTTCAAGCTACCAAAAAATTCCGTTGATTTTATGCATTTTTTTTTTGCTGGCAGTGTCCTCAATATAAAAGAAAATTGTCGAACATACTTTGTATGGAAAAAACGTGCAACACCTTCAACCAAAAAAATTCTCAAAAATACTAGAATTAAATGCGCAACAAAACTGCATACCACAATTTTTTCTAAAAATTCTGATTAAAAAGTTTGAAGTTTTGGTGAAAATTTACATAATTTGTATAATTTGTGTATAAAGTTTATATGGTGTTTGTTGTATAACCAGCTAGACTTTTATAAAAGAAATAATAAACATTAAATAAACAAACGACAAATAGGAAAAACTGCTCAAAATATTGCACTGCTATTATTTTGTGGAAAACTGTAAATGTTCTCTTTTCATTATCTTATCCATATAACCTCTAAATGACCAGAGTTCACTTATATTTCGGGGTCATAAACACAAATTTTATCGATTTACTTTTTCTCATAAATCAAAAGTAGAATTTTTCAGTTAGAAAAAAAAAAAAACTAAAAAAATAGGAGGTGGTAAAAATCGCTTAAACTAAATTTTAAAATAACTGCTTAAGTTTGCTCAAAAATGTATTGGTATGAAGAATAATTTAAAAGAGACTAGACTCTCCTTAACAAGTTCTTATTTTACCAAAGCCATTAATTGCTTTGGTCCGAGAGCAGGCGACTTCCGACTATCTCTATCTATAATTTGCGCTATTCCGCCCGCCAAATGCTGAAAGATCTTTTTGCGCTTGCTCCTTTAATTCCACTCATGCACCCTTGCCAATCGTTGCCAATCCTTGGCTGTATAAACAAAGCTTTTTCGTTGGGTTTTTTCATACCAATTTCATATTCTTCGAAAAGTATTGCAGTTTTATATTCTTTCGTGTGCTTTTATATACTTTTATAATAGGCATTAATAACGATTCCAGTGTATGCCTGCTGATCTACCCTTAATTGTCTTGAAAAAATCTTGATAAAAATATAATTTACTTTTCCACCCTTAAATAGGTACTTTTCACTCATTATTTTCATTGCCATCGTGAATTGTCGCCCTCTTTATATCGTGTATAGATATATGTAAGTAAATATAGTATACTCGTGTAACGTTCTACGCACCGGCTAACAATAAGATGTTTATCGCACTCGCTTGTCTATGCTGCTACCTACTTTAGACTTTAGTTAGTTACTTTTTGTACTGCAATTTACAACAAAAGCTTAATTGACGCTTACGTTTGCACTTTTAGTAAATTGCATGATGCGGCTGCAATGCTTGTGAGTGGGTGCAAAAAAATCAATAAATGTTTCCTTAGTTTTTGCAAACAGTATTTACTTGTACTACAAAAAATCAAAAATGTTGCATATAAAAAAGGGTGCAAAACACGGCTGTGCAAATTGCATATGTAGCAAAAGTGTAAAGTGATACGAAAAGAACTAAATATGGTAAATAGAGATATATAGGTAGGTATTGCTGTCGGAACGAAAATCCACAAATGTCATGGAGTTTATTTGCAACTAACTAAAGCCATGCATCTGTTTTTTGGTTTCTTAAACTTTCCAATATGCCTTATACATACATATGTATAAGCAGCATTATTATTCTTATATATTTCTGAGCCATTTGTGTGCCATTGTCCTCTTATTGGCAATTTAACTTCGTATCCTAACCTTTGACAATACAAAGCAAAGATTCATTTTCCGAAATCTGTGTTTATGTAGGTTAGTGGGTTACGTAGGCATGAATCATCAGCTGCGTAGGTGCGCTTGTCTATATACAA